GGCGTTTCCCAAAACAATCGAAAATTAACTCAATCTTTTTTTGCAGTAAGGCGTCTGATACTTGGATTTAGGGTTAATTCCAAGACTTCTCCTCAAACCCATTTAATCAATTCAATTTGCATCAGCTTTTCGCGGCTCTGGAGAATCAGATAATTGATATTGAAATCTTTGACATCTGGATTGCCAGGCTTTTATGGCTGCTAATTACCTGATCTTGAAATCAGATGTCTAATTCCTAATCAACTAGTTTATCCTGCAACTTGTGAAGAGTTCACAATGAGCAGCAACTTCCAACATTGCCTTTGTTCATCTACCAAAAGTTCGTTGAAATCGCGTCACGACTATTCTACCCTGTTTGCACGTATTAAGCATAACATGGAGAAAAGAATTTTGACACAAATGAAAATATACAATAATACTTTTACAAAAAGTGAAAGACACAAAAAGTTGAGGGCTTCGTATAATAGCGAGTGCTTATGCACAAAGTTGCTGATAAACTTTTTTTATCATCATCATTGGAGAGTTTTTGAACTTTGCTTGTCATAGCAGTGGGGCAAAATTGCACACTTACCCATCATGTCCATCTCGTCTTCCTCGAACATTCCAGCGCCATATTTGATGCCTTCATATTTGAATAATTTGTTCAGCGCATATCCTCCACCGCACATAATTGCGCACATTAAAGCGTACAATATGAACGTTGCTCGAGTTCCTGAAACAAACATCAGTTTGCAACATAGGAATTTTGCAAAAAATTGTTTTTAGTAATTAAATGTAATATTCGTCCTTATTATGAAACCCTTATACTTGAAGACGTTATCAAAATAAATATTATTAGGAATATCAACAATGAACTATTAAGATATAAGAGGAATTTTTCACAGATTTCTGTAGTGGTGATTAGCGCTAATATGACGTTTGGTAAGCAAATGTTTTAATATATTAGCCAATAATTCGGATTGACTTGCTGCACCCACACATTATCGCATTTTCCAGAAATGTTTTTTATAAAATTGGTTTAAACGTCTGTTCATTCTTTATTTTCCCTTTTCCAATAAAACTACTGAAACAACTATATGGGTGGTTCCTGTCTTTCATTCCAAAATGCCGATTTGCTAATTTGTTGTCACACTTACCCAACACAGATATTACCATACCGCTGGCAATACTGCCAACACCTTTGCCAACGCCATGGTAAAGTAGTTGCAAAATGTACTGCGCTGATGACTTGATGTTAGGAGGAGCAATCAAGGAGATGTACGACGAAGCCGATGCCCACAAAGTGGCCAGCGTGAGTCCTGAAGAAAAATTGCAATGCGGTTAAACTTCTATGAAAAGATAGAGGGAAATGATGATTCTTTAAAATATATGAACATTTCTGACTACTTTTTCCTGTCCCACTGCTTTGCGACACCGGGTCTTCTGATTTTAAGTCGTTCCTCATGCTCCTTAGGTAAAGGAACTAAGAGTCAGCAATGCCTTCTCGAAAGCGAATGTTACCGATCACAGATGATAATTGACTGATCTCTTTTTCTTCAGTAAACTTGTAAAAATAACAAATTAGACTGCCTAACTCATTAGAAAATCTTGATTCAAGTAGCGTTTCTCACCTTGTAATATCTGTAGTGGTACCACCATCCACGGGTTGTCAAGCCAACTCAATATCAAAAATCGGACGACATTGACGGCGAGGCAAATGTACATGACCTAAAAAAGACTAAATAAAGCCAAAAAGGGAGAATTCAATTAGGAAAGTACATAGCAGACCTTAACATGCCCAAATTTGTTGATTATTTGAAAAGTGAAGAAGTAGGCGGTAATTTCAGAAGCATGGTTTACTACAGAAAGGATACCAAACAATACTGGAGAGCCACCAAGATCCTGAAAATTACATTTATCATCAAACATATAAGCTATTAGTGAGCGCTCGTAGTGCACTAACCTGCAAATGCCAGTAGAGAAACGTGAAGATAATACCAGCACCAAAGCCCATTACCGTAACTGAGGTCATGTAGATGATCATATGCGTGTTGGCCAGAGCTTTGATTGTTATCCACAACGTGCTTTCAGATGCACTACTTGCCTCAAACGAAATAGGCATCGAATGGCAAAAGGAAGAGGAAAAGGATTAGAAATTTTTTTAAAAGCACAGGTGTTTCGAAGCCACTGCTATAAGTTAAATATGTGAACCAAAAATTAATTCTACATAGTTCGATGAATGGCATTTCTAAAAAGATTGTGAAATTCCTGAGAATTGACTGTCTTTTAAGCAGAATATTTTGCGAACTTTGTTTGATTTACGTATTTCTTGCACTCTATTTTGACGCCTTTAAAATTATTTAAGAGTGACTGATGCTGAGCAGATTACTTTCTACAAAAAAAAACTATTTCTTCTAAATTACGATGAGTTACAGTCATAATATTGCGAGAGAAGAGATTTAGGGATTTGCTTGATATGTAATGATATTCAAAATTCAACAGTCCTTAGTGTGCAGTAACACACATAGTCACACGATTACCTTACTATACAGAATAAATGTATATATTCGTGACACGTAGCATGTCTAAACACAAGTTTCCAAAATTTTGAAAATCATTTTTGCGCTGTTTACTTTGACAATTATCATTACTGTAACGTATTTTTCATTCAGCCCGGGATATACGAAAACTGATATTGTCGGAGAGTGAAATGAGCCTCATTCCTAATTGGCTCTACTATACTATATAGCGATATATAGCGAGTAACATTAGAAGAGAAATTGATGCAGATGTTTCGCTTTACATGCCATATTTTAGCACAGTTTCAATCGTGTAGCCATTAGCCAATACCTGTACTTGCCGTGCTCGAGCTTTTTCAGCGACTACGTGCGAAACCTCTGATTCCCGTGTATCCATTACCAGACCACCCACTTCATTAGGACGCGCCGTTTC